AGGGTTTGAATCCCTGCTCAGTCATGGAAACCTTGGAGGAGTCACACTCTCTCAGCCTCAGAGGAAGGCAAAGGCAAACTCTCTCTCTGCCAAGAAAACCCTGTGATTGCCATAAGGGTGGCCAAAAGTTGGAAATGACTTGAGCTGCAGAATGAATGCAGTTTGACACCAGTTTAACTGCCATGGCTCCATGCTCCAGAATCCTGGGAATTCATAGTTTTGTGAGATATTGAGCCTTCTCTATCATAGAGCTCTGTACCACAACAAACTACAAATCCCATAGCGTGGAGCCATGGTGAGCCTGTCCTAAGGTTTTCTAGGCAAGATTTATTCAGAGGAACTTTGCAGTTGCCTCCCTTTGAGGCTGAGGTTGCTGCCACACTGCAGAATGAATGCAGTTTGGCACCGCTTTAACGGCCATGGCTCCATGCTATGGAGTCCTGGGATTTGTAGTTTTGCTTGTGACACTAAACCAGGTATCTCACCATACTACAAATCCCATAGCACTGAGCCGTGGCAGTTGAAGCAGTGTCAAACTGCATTGTTTCTGCAGTGCAGATGCAGCGGAGAAGGCAAACTAGAGCAACAAAACCGAGGCAGAATTGGCTCCATTCCCCTGAAAATCTGTTTTCCTTTGCCAAATCTGCCCCAAATTCTGTATGGAGAGGTGGAGAAAAGCATTTGTGGTTGCCTAGGAGGGCTGGCTTGCCTTCCTGTCCTGCTCCACCACCTTTGTAACACCAGAAAAACTATTGCATTGAGGTTGCTAATGGGATGAGCTGTAACCTGGCAAGGCTCCAGTTCGAATCCTGCCTCTGCCATGAACTCAGCAGGCTCTCTTAGGCAAGCCCACGCTCGCTCTCACCCTCTTTCCCCCTTCTCTGGTTCATAGAGAGTGTGTCTGTCAACGCAGAGCTTGAGAAAGGTCCTTTTGGGGGACTACAGCTCCCAGAATCCCCAAGCAAGTTGCAGTTCAAAAATAGGAACTTTTTCTGGTCGCTGGCTATCTGGCCTCTGTCCAAATGCTTGCACTGAAAGAGAATCCCATCGCCTATAGGGACAATTGATTTATTTGTTTTGCAAAAGCAATAGAGCTCTTCGCCCTAGGAAATACCTCTTAAGGTTCAGCCAAGGCTGCATCCGCACTGCAGAAATAATCCAGTTTGGCTCCACTTTAACTGCCCTGGCTCATCCCCTGCAACCTGGGAATGGTAGTTGTGTTAGACATTCAGCCCTCTCTGCAATCCCCACGCATTGAGCCAGGGCAGTTAAAGTGGTATCAAACTGGATTATTTCTGCAGTGCGGATGCAGCCTACAATCTGCTTCAATTTTCACTCTCGTTCTGCCTTCTAGAACAAAACCTTTTCGGTCTTTTTGCAGGACCACCTTTTAAGAGTTTCGCAAATCTCTCTCGTGTTTCCCTGTAATGCTTTCCCTTCTAAGGTGAATACAAGCCACAGCGGCCCAAACATATTCTTGCAGGGCTGGGTTTGAATGGCAGGCCTGTATTGGGGTCAAGCTAGATGACCTTCTGGTACCCCTCTAGTTTTTCATTTCTTCCCCCTTCTCTGTCTAGGTACCGGTCAGTTTGATGCAGTACTTTTGGAACATCCCTCGCCCACAAGCATAGATGGCAACAGCAACAGCGTTTCTAGCATCGATGCCCTGGCCAAAGAATTGCATCTTCCAGGATCCGGCAGTCCTTGGAAACCTGTTAGTTGGGAGTCGCTGCACCCTGAGCTTTTGTCTTCTGGAGTTGTGTGTCTGCCAGGTATTGTGAATTGCGATGATTGAAGGAGTCGGGTAGGTTGAGCTGGTTGGTCAAGGACAGTTGATGGGGATGCAATTAAAAAGATAAAAATGCAATTAAAAATGCAATTAAAATGCAATCAAAAATGCAGTTAAAAAGATAAAAAGTCTGGGGGCAGCCACCGAGAAGGCCCCCAGACCTTTTTTTTTATATATATAAATCTTTTAATCTTTTTAATTGCATTTCATTCTTTCATCTTGAGCTGTGAATTGTTTTACTACTGTAAATAGTTTAATTCTCTTTTAAGGTTGACTTTTTGTGTGATTTTAACTGTTTGTGGTTGTTGTGTGTCTTGGAATTGTTTCTGACTTATGGTAAAACGTATCATTGGGTGTTCATGGCAGAATTTGATTGTGATTGCCTTCCTCTGAGGCTGAGAAAGTGTGGCTTACCCAAGGTCACCCAGTGGGTTTTTATGGCCAAGTCAGGATTCGAACCCTGGTCTCCAGAGTCATAGTCCCAACACTTAACCACTACACCACACTGGCTCTCTACTATTTACTATTGTAAATAGTTGAATTCTATTTAATATTTTTGTTTGTGGTTGTTGTGTGCTTTCAAGTCATTTCTGACTTATGGCGACCCTAAGGCAAATGTATCATTTAGTTTTCGTGGCAGAATTTGCTGTTGCCTTCCTCTGAGGCTGAGAGAGTGTGACTCACCCAAGGTCACTCAAGGAATTTCCTTGTGGCTGAGATGCGATTCGAACCCAGGTTTCTAGAGTCGTAGTCCAATACTCAAACCACTGCACCATGGTGGGTCATTCTGTTTTCTTTTTAAATTGTGAGCTGCTTTGAGTCCCAATTTATTTATTATCTCATGATAATGAATAAATAATATCCTGGAGAAGAAAATAACTAAGAAAGTGATATAATTTGTTGTTGTTGTTGTTGTTGAGCCATTAAGACAACTCCAGTTTATGGTGACCTCCTCACAGGGTTTTTAAGGCAAGATTTATTAATCAAGGAGATTTGCCATGGCTTTCCTCTGAGGCTGAGAGAGTGTGACTTGCCCAAGGTTACCTAGTGGGTTTTCAGGGCTGATTTGAAACCAGATCTCCAAGAGTCCTAATCCAACACTCTCCTATACAAAGCTGGTTCATTGATATGATATAGGCATCTTTAAATATCTTGAAGGGATGTCAAATGGAAGAATCCATGAACGGATGGATTCAATATTATAAGAAAAGAGATTATTCCTAAACATCAAAGCAAAGCAAAAAACAGCTTTATTTATAGAGGTTTAAAAATGTTGGAGGATGTCAGAGGCTGGATGGCCATGGGTGCATCTACACTGTAGAAATAATCTAGTTTGATACCACTTTGAGTGCTGTAGCGCCATCCTTTTGGAGCCCTGGGATCTGTAGTTTTGCAGGGTCTTTAGCCTTCTCTGCCAAAGAGTGCTGGGACCTCACAATGCAAACCCCAGGTTTCTGTATGATGGAACCGTGGCAGCGAAAGAGGTGTCAAACTGCTTCACTTCCACAGTGTACATGCCCCCAGAGAAAGCTAAACATCTCACAAAACTTCACATCCCAGGAGTTGGTAGGATGGAGCTGTGGCTGGAGCTTCTGAGACTTGAAATCCTAAAGGACCAAAGTTTGTGAACCTCTGCAAACTGTGTTATTTCTACAGTGTAGATGCACCCCATCTCTCAGGGGTGCTTTAGTGGTACATGTCTGCACTGTCAGGGGGTTGGACTGCATGGCCTTTGGGGTCCCTTTCAACTCACAGCTCTATAACTCTATAAGCCACACTGATGTCCAGTTGTGGAATTCCCATTCCCATTCATTTCAATGGGGCTGAGAACTTCCCAATGAGTTCTGTCTTTAAGCAGAGGCTGGATGGCCATCTGTCGGGGATGCTTTGATTGAGAGTTCCTGCATGCCAGGGGGGTTGGACTGGATGGCCCTTGGGGTCTCTTCCAACTCTAGGATCAAGGCTTCCTAAACTTTGAGTCTCCACGTGTTTGGGACTTCAGCTCCCAGAATGCCTTACTGTTGTCCATGCTGGCTGGGGCTTCTGAGACTTGAAGTCCTAAACACCAAGGTTTGGGAACCTCTGCAAAAAATGCCACCAGTTTAGGAGGTTGTTGAAAAACAGGGTGGGAAGGGTGAAAGCAGGGTCAAATCCCTGTTCAGCCATGGAAGTCCACAGGGTAGCCTTGGGCAAGTCACACTGTCTCAGCCTCAGAGGAAGGCAAATGCAGAACTCTTGTGAACAAATTTTGCCAAGAAAACTGGGCAATAGGTTTGCCATAAGTCATAAACGACTTGCAAGGCACAGAAGAAGAACAAATGCCGAGCTTCATCGGGTCAAGGCATCTCATGGGCTTTTCTTTCCTTTGGCTGCAGGGAGTATGGATAAAACGGGAAGACCCATCATCCACATCACCACCAGTGGCCGAGAGTGGCACGCCCCCTGGTGCTCAGCCACAGAACTGCTGCGACTCCTCCTCTACCTTTGCGCCTTGTCCAGGTAAGCCAAGCTCCTTGTAGAGGGAAACCCTGCAGGGCGACTGGGTGGGTGTCCTCATAACTGCAAAGGAGGACGAGGCACCTCAAAACGTAGGACGTTCCAGAAAAATGTGGGACATGACAAAATAAATGCTGAAAACACCGAGATAAACATACATCCATGCTTCTTAGTGGAGGACATTTTGGAATCCCTCCAGGACAGAAGGTTGCAATGTAGGGCATGTCCTGGAAAAGGAGAACGTCGGTCACCTTCATCCCTTGGAAAGTGATGCTCTCCTCTGGAGATTCCAGATGGAAGGCTGCTCCTAGTCCTTCCTAACCCAAAGATGCTCTGTGTAGCAAGATCCTACAACATGCTTGTGCCACAGGAAAGGGCATTTGCACAGTGACACAATCGATAGGTGTGCCCCCGTCTCCTGAAGGCTGGCATCATGCATCTCCAGAATGCCTTTGCATTCATCTGCAAAGATGCCGATTTCTTGCAACAAGGAATGAGCAATGGCTGTTTCCTACAGTCTCAGGGAATCAGACACTAAGAAATACAGTGTATTTGTTGTTGTTGTTGTTGTGTGCCTGCAGGTTGTTTCTGATTTATGGCAACCCTAAGGTTTTCATGGGCTTTTCGTGGCAAGATTTGTTCAGAGGAGGTTTGCCATAGCCATCCTCTGAGGCTGGGAGAGTGTGACTTGCCCAAGATAGCCAATGGGTTTCCATAGCCCAACAGGGACTCGAACCCTGCTCTCTGGAGTCACGGTCCAACACTCAAACCACTATACCCCATTACCCTCGACTTATCCATGGATCATATCAAAATCCATAATTCTAGTCCCCAAACATACTCTTGAATGTTTATGACTTATACATGAGTATGGGTGGTAGTTATCCACCATCCAAGAATGCACAACTGCACATGCAATGTTTGCACCTGTGGAACTCATAAAATCATAGAATCAGAGAGTTGGAAGAGACCCCAAGAAGGGCCATCCAGTCCAACCCCATTCTGCCATGCAGGAACTCACAATCAAAGCATCCCCGACAGATGGCCATCCAGACTCTTGTTTAAAGACCTCCAAAGAAGGAGACTCCACCAAAATCTCCAAGGAAGTGTCTTCCACTGTCAAACAGCCCTTACTCTCAGGAAGTTCTTCTTAATGTTGAGGTGGAATTGCTTTTCCTGTAGTTTGCATCCATTGTTCCGTGTGCTATTCTCTGGAGCAACAGAAAATAAGCTCGTTCCCTCCTTGATATGGCATCCCTTCAAATACTTAAACAGGGTCTCAGATCACCTCTTAACCATCTCTTCTCCAGGCTCAACATTCCCAGCTCCCTAATTCTGCTTGTGCAGCTGTGAACTGAAAACAGCTGTTGCACAACCGCCCCCCAAAATACATCTGCAGGCGTATTTTGGGAACTGAGATGTCCAGTGGGATATTGGCCATTAACATAGTGTTTTTGGTGAATGGGTTTTCCTCTCTGTGTTTGTCTGTAGAAAGAGAACAAAGATGAAAGAAGCATATGGGAAATTTGGGAAGGGTTACAGACATAAAGGAGCAGAACCTCTATCTAATTTGGCAGAATGAGTGGGGCTTGGGGTGAGAGGACTGGTGGGTCTGGATCATTGGGGCTGGATGATCAATGGTTCAGTCGATGCAATGGCTCCGGGTCCATCACTGGTCCAGGGGTCCCATAGCCGAAGGGGAAAGGGGCTCACATGGTACCTCTTCTTCCCAGTCACTTCTTCAATCTCCTGTTATCATCAACATTTTTTGTGTTATTTCAATAGTTGAGTAAAAATAGCAGGGAGTAGATGATGATGATGATGATGATGATGATGGATGATAACCATAATAATTTGTTTCCATGTGCCTTCAAGTTATTTCCAACTTTCGGCAACCCTATGACAAACCTATCCTGGGATTTTCTTGGCAAGATTTGTTCAGAGGAGGTTTGCTATTGCCTTCCCTTGAGGCTGAGAGAGTGTGACTTGCCCAAGGTCACCCGGTGGGTTTCCACAGCTGAGTGGAGATTCGAACCCTGATCCTCAGATTCATTGTTGTGGTCTTACGCTCAAACCATAACATCGTGCTAAATGCCAACGCTAAAACTATGGCTTTGGATTTGATTGATTTTCTGGAGCACGTTAAAAGAGTCCACATTTAGAATATTGACTGACTGCCAAGGACAGCTGTTGAAACCATTTTGGATGAATCTTCCTTTTAAACAAAAATATCTGAATCTTTGGCATTTGTCTGCAGTTGAGGTCATCCTGGAGTTTTAAGGGGAGCACCGTTATAAACGTCTCCCTTCTTTGGGAGTCAGCAAAGCTGGATCTCTTCTCCGGTGGCAGCCAGTGGGTCCCAGGTCAGTGGGTCGGTGAATCCACTCTGGGTTTTAGTGTGAAATTTACTGGCACTGTCCAAGATGCTTGAGCATACTTTGGGGATAGGGTTCTGCACCTTGAATATATCTCCTTTGAAGTTCACACGGAAACTCAAGATAGACCCACAGAGAGAGGTGGAATTATAGAGTCCAAGGGACAACAAGGACCACTTGGTCCAACCACAACCTGCATATGAATCCATATGGAAGCCATCAAATCAGTGGTGGACCTAGTACATTTGACACCCAGTGCGGATCATTTTTGAACAACACCCCACTCCTCTCCTCATAGAATCGCAGGGTTAGAAGAGACCCCAAGGGCCAACCATTCCTACCATGCAGGAAGACACTATCAAAGCACCTCTGACAGATGGCCACCCAGCCTGTGTTGGAAAACTTTCAACGAAGGAGACTCCACCACACTCCAAGGGAGCATCTTCCACTGCCAAACAGTTCTTGCCACCAGGATGTTCTTCCTAATCCTTAGGTGGAATCTCTTTTCCTGTGGTTTGCATCCATTGTCCCTGTGACAGATGGACAGATGATAGGGTTAGAAGAGACTCCAAGGACCAACTATTCCTGCCCCATTCTAGCATGAAGAAAGACACCATCGAAGCACCCTTGACAGATGGCCCTCCAGCCTTTGCTTAAAAACCTCCAAAGAAGGAGACTCCACCACCCTCCAAAGGAGTGTCTTCTGCTGCCAAACAGTTCTTACTGTCAGGAAGGTCTTCCTAATGTTGAGGTGGAACCTCTTTTTCTGCAGTTTGAATCCATTGCTCTAGGTCCTATTCTCTGGAGCAGCAGAAAACAAGCTTGCTCCCTCCTCAATATGACATCCCTTCAAATACTTAAAGCAGGGCTATCATGTCATCTGTTAACCTTCTCTTCTCCAAACCAGCTCCCTAAGCTGCTCTTCATGGGGCTTTATGGTCTCCAGGCCATTCACCATTTGGGTTGCCCTCCTCTGGACATGGTCCAGCCAGCGGTCACCTGTGGAAAGCAGCCCCTTCCCACCAGCAGTCACTGGTGAGAATGAGCTGCTCCTTTGCCTGGCTAGCAGAGCCACCAGATGCAGAAGGTACCCCTTCCCAGTAGCACACCAGTGTCACCCAGTGTGGTTAGCATGCCCTGAGTCCATGTACTGATGCCCTTGCATTAAGTGGAAAAGACTGAGAGGTGAAATACGATGGCTGTCTTTAAATACCTGAAGGATGTCCCGTAGAAGACCTAAGAGTATTAGTAGATCATAAACTGACCGTTAGTCAGCAGTGTGATGCAGCAGCTAAGAAAGCCAATGTCATTCTAGGCTACATCAGTGGAAGCATAGTGTTCTTTGCAATTCCTCTTTCATTGAGGAATTACATCTTGCCGCGACCAGAATCAATCCAGAACCATACCGGAATGATGCTGCTTTCTTGTCTGAAGCTACGGGGTCTATTCCAGTATGGTTCTGGATTGATTCCATGCCGCTTTCTTGCCGCTTTGAGACCCCGCGTGTGATAACATCCACTACGAGGAAAACCATAAGAGCTGCTTGACAGTAGAATGGGCTGCCTGGGAAGGTAAGCTTGGGCAAGTTACACTCTCTCAGCCTCAGAGAGAGGGAAAGGCAAACCCTCTACGAAAAAGGTCTCTTCCAGGACTATGCCTTGGTTGTGTTATGCAATGCCTGGGTTGAACATTGCACAACTGGATGTGTACTAAATGTTCACTGAGTACGCATCATATGTGCATTCATGCACATAATGAAGCAAGTGTGATCACTTCTTGTTCCATCCTGCAGGAAGCAGTCAAGCACCATGGGTCTGACAGTGGTCATTGATGCCAGGAAAGACCCTCCCCAGCCTTCTCTCTCTGCAGCCCTGGGGGCCATCCAGGTAATCCCAGATGAATGGGAAGCAGGGGGAATCTTTTGAGTTTGAATATTAATCTTTTGAGTTTGAATCTAATATACTTTGGGCCCTTGGCATCTGCCAGGGTTTGGTTGCATTTAGAAGGAAAAACCATAATCACCAAAAGTCAACATGGGTTTCAGAAAAAACAAGTCATACCAGACTAATCTGATCTCTCTCTCTCTGTGTCTCTCTTTTGATAAAATTACCAGCTTGGTAGATGAAGGGAATGCTGTGGATATTGCATATCTTGATTTCAGTAAGGACTTCAACAAGGTCCCCCATGATATTCTGGCAAACAAGCTAGGAAAATGTGGGCTAGACAATGCAATTGTTAGGTGGATTAGTAATTGGTTGACTGGCCTAATCGAAAAGGTGCTCAGCAATGGCTCCTCTGCATCTTGGAGAAGAGTGACCAGTGGGGTGTCCAGTGAGGTTCTGTCCTGGGCCCAGTTTGCTGTTCGACATCTTTATCAATGACCTGGATGGAATTGAGGGCATGCTTATCCAATTTTCAGATGACACTAAACTGGGAGGAGTTGCTAATTTCCCAGAGGACAGGATAGCAATAGCAATCTACAATGTGTAAGCTAATCAAAAATTCAAAATTACCTAAATAGATTAGAAAGCTGGGCCAAAAATAACAAAATAAAATTCAACAGGAAGAAATGTAAGGTAGTGCACTTAGGCAGAAAAATAAAATAAAATGCATAGATATAGGATGGGGGACACCTGGCTTGACAAGACTCCATATAAAAGGGATCTAGGAGTCCTAGTAGACCACAAGTTGAACATGAGTCAACAGTGGGATGTGGCAGCTAATAAGGCCAATCCAATTCTAGGCTGCATCAATAGAAGTATAGTGTCTAGTTCGAGGGAAGTAATAGTACCACTCTGTTCAACTTTGGTCAGGCCTCACCTGGAATAACCCTATGTCCAGTTCTGGGCAAAACAATTCAAGAAGGATGTTGAAAAGCTGAAGCATGTCCAGAAGAGGGCAACCAGAATGGGGAAGGATCTGGAAACCATGAAGCCCTATGAGGAGCGACTGAGGGAACTGGGCATGTTTAGCCTGGAGAAGAGAAGGTTAAGAAGGGACATGATGCAATGCCGCTGTCTGTTTATGTTATATGTTTTATTAATTTGGTCTTAAATGAGATTTTAATCTGTTTAACGATTTAATATATTTTTAAGGGGGGTATTTGTTGCTGATTTGTATGGGTGTACTCTTTTTAACTTGTAAGCTGCCTTGACAACCCTGGCTAAAGGTGGGGTATAAATAAAGTTTTATTATTATTTATTATTTATTATGATGGCCCTGTTTAAATATTTGAAGGCCGTCACATTGAGGATGGAGCGAATTTGTTTTCTGCAGCTCCAAAGCCTAGGATCTGGAGCAATAGATGCAAACTATAGGAATAGAGATTCCAGCTCAACATTAGGAGGAACTTCTTGACACTAAGAGCTGTTTGGCAATGGAAGATGCTCTCACCAATTTAACTGGTAGGAATTC